ACCCCCCCCGTCACCCCGTGTCACCTCCATCCCACCCCGCCACCCTCCCATCACCTCCCAGCGTCACCCCATATCCAGGCCTAAGGGTGTCCCCGGGGTGGCGGTCCCCCATCCCCGTGTCCCCCACCCAACCCCGGGGTGGCCCCGGGGTGACGTGTTCCCCCGTCCCCAGCCGGGCTCCTGTCCTACACGGCGCCGCGGGGACAGGTGATGGCCCTCGACCCAGCGCCCGTTGTCCTCAACGACTCCACCTACGATGGATACAGCGTTGGCCCGTGAGTCCCCCAGCTGTCCCCAGCTGTCCCCAAGGGTCACCTGCCCCAACCAGCCCCAGGAGTTCCCAAATTGGCCCCAGCTGGTCTTCAGCCATCCTCAGGTGTCCCCGGACTGTCCAAAACTGTCCCCAGACTGTCCCTGAACCTTCCCAAATGTCCCCAATGGTCCTCAAACTGTCCCCAAGTGTCCCCAGCCAGCCTTGGCCATCCCCAAGTGTCCCCAAACTGTCCCCAGACTGTCCCTGGACCTCCCCAGAAGTCCCCAGTGGTCCTCAAACTGTCCCCAAGTGTCCCCAAACCATCCTCAGGCGTCTCCAAACTGTCCCCAGACTGTCCCTGGACCTCCCCAGAAGTCCCCAGTGGTCCTCAAACTGTCCCCAAGTGTCCCCAACCAGCCTCGGCCACCTCCAAGAGTCTCCAAACCATCCCTAACTGTCCCCAAACTGTCCCCAGGTATCCCCAGACTGCCCTTGGCCATCTCCAACTGTCCCAAACGTCTCCAAACAGGCTCCAACTGTCCCCAAATCATCCCCAACCATCCGCCACTGTCCCCCAATGACCCCAAAGTGTCCCCAGAAGGTCAACCACTGGTGCAAAACAGCCCCAAATTGTTCCCTGCTGTCCCCAACTGCCCCCAAATAGCCCAGACTGTCCCCAAATTGTCACCTGCTGGCCCCAAACAACCCCAAACTGTCACCCACTGTCCCAAAAGAGCTTCAGATTGTCCCCAGATTGCCCCATCTGTCCCCAGTTGTCCCCAGTTGACGCCAATGTCCCCCAAAGCAGCCCCGATTGCCCCCAAATTGTGCTCTAGATCCCATGGGGGGGAGTGGGGGGGGGTCCCAGGGGGGTGGGACGGAGGG